GTAAGACATCTTCCATACTTCAGCAAGCATTAGGTGAAATTAAGTGCAAAGCAATTGACTTGCTTTAGATCACTAGCAATCTTCCTGCATCTGTGGCTTAACTTTAGCTCCATGTTAAGTTTGGTACATGGGTTCTTAGACATCTTCACTGCTTCATACATGGTGCTACTAAAAATCGTAAGTAACTGCAAGGTGAAGGAGCTTGGATTACAAGAGAGAGATCTAATTAGAACCATTTGTTTCAAAAACTGCTGTTTTAAAAGATTTTGAGCATCTTTCCCAACAAAGTGAAAATTCCTAAAATGTAAAGAACACTGTAACATAAATTTCTGAAATGTTAATTATCTCATAGCACCATATTGCTAAATTCCCCAGAGAGAACACTGTTGTTTTGGTTACCTAGGGCTACTCTAACAGGATACCACAAATGAGATGGCTTTAACAAACAGGAGTTTATTCTCTTACCATTTTGGAGGCTAGAAGTCTCAGTTCCATGTGCCAGGCTCTAGGGGCTAGGCAAAAACCCTTTGAACTTTGGCTTCAGCTCTGCCTCTTACTCCCAGTCCACTGAAGCTAGATTATTTCTTTACTCAGGCAACTGCTTGCTGCTGAGGCTAACAAGCCTAAGGCTGACATATAAATGTGGCACAGTCCCAATATTACCAAAAAATATGGCAGGCCACTAATGCCAGTTCAGAGACAGTTCCAAGATTGGCAGGAAACATGGCAGGCCGCTAAACGAAGACTCAGCTACCTGTAGGGTCCAAGTGCACCAAAAAGCTGCAGACCTCTCTTCTCCTTATTTACTGGATGCAGACCACACCCCTAAAGCAGCTACTCAGCTGCTCCAGTAGAATTCTACCATGGAACTGATTACCAACCTCACCATGAGGAATAACTGCCAGTGGCCCAGCCACTCAAAACCAGGCCCAGCCAAGTTGACACATAACCTTAACTACCACAACTGTCAACTATGAAGGTTCTTTCAAGTCATAGTTTCAAACTGGTTGTCACCAAACTGATGAGTCTGATGGAGTTGTACTGGAAGTTAAATCATGTTTATCACCCTCCAGGTCCCAATGTGAGAACATATACTACATGGGACAAATATTCAAGTTTAGCAGACCTGTTATAGCAATGTATTTCCTTGATTTTAAGCTTTTAGGGTCATGTTTTTAAGAGACAAATGAAGGAGAATTATGAAGTAGTATTAAGCTGTAGGGCATATATTTTTTAAACAATTTTGCATTTTACAGATGCTTATTCCTCATAACCACCCTTCTAGAACAGTACTGGCCAAGAGAATTTTCTGTGAGGTTGGAAATGCTCTGTATCTTTCTTGTCCAATATGGTAGCCATTAAGTCTGTGTCAGTACTAAGCTTCTGAAATGTGGCTAGTGTTGACTAAGTAACTGGATTTTTATTTCATTTTACTTAAATAGTTACATGTGGCTAGTGGTCACATGTATAGTGGTATTGGACAGCACAGCTCCACATTGTAAAAGCAGACATCCATATTAAATGGAGATTAATGTACACCATGGTGTGTCCAGGAACATCAATGAACACCTACAATCTAATTATTTGCTGGGGGAGGGGAAGGGATGCTAGTTTACTGTCTATAGAAATAGAACTAGGGAGAGACCAGCAGGAAATAGTAGCTACTGCCCAGCACCTCTATATTCACAATTGACGTACATAATACATAAAAGGAAAACAGGTTTCAATATGCTATATAAATAAAAAAAAATTAGCTTAAATGCAAGTGGTCATGTAAGGCACAACAATCGGTCTCTATCTGCCTGGAGCGAGTGAGCGAGTCAGGAATAGACGGATACAGCACGTGTGGCTAATTGCCTTCATGAACAACCATGACATCTGCCATGAGACCAGAATTGGATGGTGCCTGGCTACCACTACCTAACATGTTGATCAAAGACTGTAAAGAAGCCTGATCAAATGGAAGAAAATGCAGCACAGAATTTCAAATTCTCATGGATTCAAATTTCTAGAGCCAAGGGGGCTGGATAAACCCCTGAAACTACTGCCCTGAGCTAATTTTTAAAACTTTAACCAAAAATATCCCCTGAAATCTTCTTAAATAGTTTAGCTTAACTAGTATTTAAAAAAAAAAAAAAAAAAAAAGCCTGCCTTGAGCATTATGCTCTTTTAAGAACTACCTCTATGAGAATAAAACAACAGCATCTCAAAAGTTAGATAGAAACCTTAGAGGCCAGTGAGTTTATATTAATGGGAGATGACTAACTCAGAAAAGGAGAGTGAGGACAGTTGTGTAACTTGAAGAATGAATCAATGTCACTGAATTGTGCATAAAGAAACTGTTGAATTGTGGTGTTTTGCTGTGTGTATTCTCAACAATAACATTTAAAAAAAAAAAAAAGTAACTTAGCTTGAAAACAGATGACCACAATATGTTACTTGTTTCTTGCTGAATTACCACTGAACATGCTACATATAATATGCTTTACTTAAATTGATCATAAACTTTAAATAGAAAATAACACAATTAATGAAGATAGCTATTCTTTTCAGCCTCTGGTTTATCATTTGTGACACCAAGGAGGACTATGATTTTAGGCATTCACCATTGTCCTAGGCCTCAGTCTCTTCATCCATAAAACAGTAAAACAGAAGGGAATGGTCCCTATTGGTCGTTTCCTATCTTTGTGTGGGACTCAATTTTACTTGAGCATGTAAGATGACCCAGATACAGTCTCTCAAAATATCCAGCATGAGAAAGGAGGCCTTGAATGCTATACTGGATTGCTACTGGTCACTCTACCATGACCTTACAGTGGTTTTTATTTCCTCTTCTGCTGATAATCACCTCAAAAGCATCTTTTGTCATTTCTGATGTCACTATGGATTTCAAGGTACATTTGTAATTATGGGTTACAATTTCCATGCTACATATAATGTGAGTTACAACTATCAGAACTACCTGAATGCTTTGGTTAGCATCAGTAATTAAAAGTCTTTACCAACAACTGCTTTTCTGATAATGTTAAAAGAGAGGATGTAAAATAGAGGGGTCAATGAAAAAACGTGGTGTGTGGCGGTGGGGGACAACATTCATTCCTAAATTCATATTGTTGTAGTGGTTAAATAGTTACCTTGCTCTGTAAGTCCTCTGTGATTGGAAGCACCAAGGAAGTGTTTTTTTGTCTTTTTGTTTTCTGTTTTTTCTTCTTCCCTGTGAAAGAAGGGAAGCAATGGAAGGAAATGAAAGAGTTCATTTAAGTGCCATATTCACATAAGGCTAATTTGTACAAGCTCAATCCAGCTGAAAATACTGTATTACAGCCACTGCTGGTCCACAAAACTTCAGTTGAGAAGACTAATTGAGATTCCTCAGGAGAACTCACTTGTCTTTAAGAGTTACAGAATGTCTCATTAAGCATTCTGTACCTCCCCCTTCTCTAGAATACTAAGTCTGACTCTGCTTGGCCTGAGTTTAGTTTGTGAATTTCCAATAGATTCTAATACATCATTGTTGTAAGACTGTTGGTTTTGTTTTGCGCTTTCTTTTTTTTTTTGGGGGGGGGGCCCTCCAAAGTAGCATTTAACAGAATTGTTTTAGTTATACTGGAATTCAATTTTAAAAAATAAAAACAAAAAACTATGCCCCACCTCCAAGACAGCAAAAAAGGAACTGAAGCCCTTACTAAACAACTCCTCTAATCTTGCACTAGAGAAATGCTTTCTATAAAACACAATCATTCCAGTTGATGGCTGGAGTTTAGAAAGAACACTAAATTCTATAAAGTTTTATTTTCTATCCTTTTGCAGTTCTCTATGTAGATACAATCCTTGAATATTTGCCTTTTATTAGACTAGTGAGAGCATGAAACACATTTGATTCTTCTTTTTTCCTTCTTCACTAAAATGACATGTTGTGGACCCTTTGGTGTATTAAAAAAAAAAAAAAAAAAAAACCCTTAAAGATGTTTGAGGGATTAGTGTCACGGGAAACTACATGTTTATTTTAAATATCTAATTAGAAGCCTCTCCCATGAGCTGAAAGAAACACCTTTTGGCCCAATTATGGAATAACTCTTTTCCCTCACTGCTATTACTATACACAATATTACAAGCTTGCAAAGAAACATGGAATAACATTAAAACAGTACAAAGGTCTCCAAGTATTTGACATCGTTTTCATGTATATATAAGCAATGACATACATACATACACATGTATATGCGTGTATGTATGTATGTATACACACACACATATATACACACCTTACCTGCCAAAGCCCAAAGGTTGCCTGGATTATTCTATTTGTACTTTTCATATAATAAATATATTTATAGATTTACCTCTATCTACAAGGTAACAAGGAGCTCTGGTAGCATAGTGCCTAAGGCACTTGACTGCTAACCAGAAGGCTGGTGGTTCAAACCCATCAGGCACTCCTCGGAAGGAAGATGGGGCAATCTACTTCTGTAGTGATAATGCCTCAGAAACTCAAGGAGGGGTCACTATGAGTCGGGTCCAACTCGACCGCACATAACAACAACACAAGGTAACATGATTCTTTCAGAGCTATTTCATAATTAACTTTTTCCATGGTAAAAAGTAAAATTTCTTATTGTTTTAAAATTTAAATAATGAGTTTTTTTTCTAACTGGAATATGATAATATATTTGAATATATTTCTCCCCCATTTCCAACTACCTTTTTTTTGTTAGCATGTTCCGAAGGAAAGTCAACAAGGTTAATGATTACACTGACAATTTCTTTTAGCCTTTAATATATTTTCTACTAAAAATCAAGCTGAGACAGAAATGATCACTGGTTTTGTTATTATAAAAACAAGTAACAATTTTTAATTCACAAATGATGGTAACACAAGACATTGATCACACTGTGCATATGGTATTACAATAAACTGATTAGTTGGAGACTAATAAAACATTTAAGACTTCACATACACACAAATGTACTTTGAAACAAGAAACACAGGACAACTTTAGTCTCTGATATTTCCATGACTGCCAAGAGGAAGAATGCCACTGATTTGAGTCTAATTGTTTTCCTGGTATATGATCACTATATATTCTAGTCCTAAAGCATACTGCATTATTAAGGACATCTTTAGGCAAAAATAAACATTTGATGTGAGGCTTTTTCTCCCTGCTCAAAACAATCTGCTTCCCTACAGGTAATCAAGTACTTGGTTTGTTATCAATTTAACATAATCACTACAATAAACAGTATTTTTAACCATAAAGCTCAGGTGACAGGTTTTTAAACAGACCACACAACAAATTATTTTACCCAAGGAAGGCAATCCTAATTATAAATGCAATCCTAATAAAAAAATCTTGTTTACAAATCAGTCACTTTCAGGTATTAATGAAGAAACAAAAACGCATGTAAAGTGGAAAGGAATGACAGCATAGCAGGAGCAGAAGAGGTGTGAAATAAGGAAAATATCGTATTTGCCACAGGAAATATGAGATTCAGTTGATTTTTTAAAATGAGGTATAAGAAGAATATGCAAGTAAACGCAAAAACAAATTTTAAAAATGCACATTTCCAATGGAAAAATCTCTAAGCCTCTTATAGTTTTCCTTTATTCAGATTAGACATTTCATTTACAGCAGTTAATCTAGAAAAATACATTTAAAAAAATCTTCAACTGACCATGCTCCCTGTAACAAAACCTTCCAAACCCTGTTTTTTTATACAAATCAATCTACATTAGTAATGTAAAAAGAAATTCTCAAATTTAGCAATGTCATTTTCCATCCAGCATCCACCTAATTTATATATGAGTTTCCAACTATTCATATTGTAGAGTTAGAATTCTGTAATAAATTTTTTCTAATGTATTCTGTACATATTAAATAATCTAAAAGGTTCCTCTTGTAGTGCATTTACCATTTAGCAAGTCTATGCGGTATTTTTCCAGTACCATTTGCATTACAGTGATTTGCCTGTACATGTAAATTAAATTTAAAAGTGCACACAGTTACCTTCCCCAAATAACAGCCTATTTCTGGAGGAAACCTAATATTCACGGAAAAGATCACCTATACCGATACCATGATTACAAACATAGGGTTAGAATGTATTCTGAGACTATACGACATGTTTATGTACATAAGCTAAAGGGCAGTAAGTCTTTAGCCTGTATTTACAACAAATAGCGTCCATTTCCACAGGGTCATACCAAGAACTCAGTATGGCACTAGATAGAATGAGAATTGTTGGCTACAATTCAGTGTAGCACACAAAGCCTAATAATACCCTGAATTGACTTACGCTAAATAAAATCTCCAGTATGTCACAGTATTCAATGTAGTATTTATTAGTGTGCTGCCCAAACAAGCAAAGATATCCAGTAAGGATGCTGTGTGACACAGTGAAAGACAGCAAGCCTTCATCAAGGGATTCTATCTGGGTTATGATGAATTTTAGCACTTACACGGCCACTGCATGCAGAAACCCTGAAGACGAAATACACAGGTTTCAGAACGGATATACTTCATCTTGTTTAAAATGCCCAAGAGTGTTTTCAAAATAACTGTACTATTCCTATCAAGTGATGAACCTACACGTGATGACCCTAGAAGTCATAGAAAGAATTTCTGTATTATCCAGTTTGAGGAAAAAAAAAAATTGTAGTTTTCTTACCAAATTATCCAGTGTACATATGCCTAGTTAGAATTGCAAGTTTTGATTTTTACTGAAATTCAGAGCATGAAATGCAAACATTCAGGATAAAAGTAACCCAAAATCATACTAACTTGCAACAAAGCAGCAAATATGAGGGCCTAATACACATCTTGACACTCCCCCTCCCTTCTGATCCCTCAAAAATGTGCAAAATCAAAGAGTCACTGCTTGGTCCAAAAATAAAATACGTCGTGTATAAAGATTTGCAATCTGATGGAATCCAGCTTCTACTCCACAGGTTCTGTCTTCCGTAAGCATCAGCGTCCAAAGATGGAGCTTAATTCCAGAAGAATTAATTCTACAATCTGATTTTGGTACACAGTATGAACTGCTATATTACCAGTCTCTTTCTCTGGCTTTAATAGAGTGGGACCAAAAACGATTGCTATACTTTGATAGGTCATTCGATTCTTTTCTCCATTTTCTACAACTCTAAAAAGAAAAGAAAAAAAAGTTGTTAAAAGAGAAAATAATACAAAATAGAGACGGAAAATTCTTCAACTTGATACATGAATCAACTTGGATTACAAATATAACAGTTTGCATTTTGAAAAGGAAAATAATACTAAGTCTTCTTAGGTGATAAAAGTAGAGCTCAGTACAAATGCCATCTGAAACTCTCCTATGGATAAATAAACACATCTTAAAAGTATACTTTGTATATATTCTTGCTGCTGCATTAAGCTGGCCCTTGACTCATGGGAGCCCATATACAAAGGGATCAAGCTATTATGATCCATGGGGTTTTCAATGGCTGATTTTTTCTGAAACAAACACCAGCCCTTTGTTCCTAGTCTGTTTTAGTCGGAAAGCTCCAATGAACCCTGTTCAGCCACACAGCAACATGCAACCTTCCACTGACAGACAGGTGGTGGCTGCCCTTGAAGTGCACTGGCCCAAAATCAGACCTCAGTCTCCTGCGTGGAAGGTGAGAATCCTACCACTAAGGTACCAATGTCTCACTACTCTACAAACTTTAAATGTGGGACATGTTCGTTTAGTTTTTAAAATAGCATACAGATGTAAATACGAGTTACAATTCTGTCCATGATTACTAATTAAAGTGGAAAAAATGTCATTAGGGCACAGAGACTAAATGTTCAATTTTACTCATTTTATTAAAAACTCTCTCACTGGGATAGTTTTAGTATTCTAGTGCTCTTTAATGAGCACTGGTGGTTCACTGATAGATTTCTTGCCTTCCATTTTAGGGTAAGTTGATATGTTATTGTTTTGTGGCATAGAGTTGATCCTGACTCATGTATCTCATTTAATAACTTCCATTTTAGGGTAAATTGTATATTTAATAACTAAATTCATCTTCTTATTAATGAACTTTAACAACAGTTTCTAAACACCTACTATATGCTGAGCACGATATAAATGCTTCACATATAATATCTAATTTAATATATTCTTCAGACCAAACCATTTTACCTTGGAGGAATGGAGGCTCAAAGTCATTGAGTATTTTTTTTAATTCACAAAGATAGTAATTAGCAGAGCTGAGCTCTAAAGCTGGGTCTGATTAACCCTGACCCCACATGTTCCCTACATTTTCTATCTGTGCAGTTCTCTTACCTTTTAAGATGTCTAAAAAGAATCTGCATTGTATCCTGATTTGGCTTTGGCAACTGTTTGATTAAGTCTTTAACAGCAGCAACTCGCTGTCTTGGGTCTTGTTCTGAAAAGAGATGATAACTGAGGATTTTGTAGCACAGTCTTAAGAAACTGAAAGCAATGACAGTGTCTGGAAGTTGGTATTTGGTAACACACAGTGACATCTGGTGGTCACATTTTAAATTTTTTTGGGAAAACAATCCTTTGAAAAAATATGTTTTAAAATAAGAAAGATTAAAACAGCTTGCTGACTTAATCTGTGCAGAGAAATTTCAATATTTAGGGAAAAACTGAATGAATTATATACTTACTAATTGCATTAACAAAATCATTAAAATGATTAAATGTAAAAAGAGGTTCTGGTAATTCTCGAAAAAACATTTTGAGTGCTCCAGTGATGACATGAATATCTTCCCATTTACTATCATTCAAGTCCAATTTCTCATCTGAAGAACAGAATAGAAACATGATTTAAAAAAAAAAAATTATTTTCAACCAATTTTAACAGTTATGAGTGGTAATTCTGGATATAACAATAAGAAATATTGCCTTACCGTGATTGACAGCAAATCTCAACTTCTGTATCACTGCAAGGTTGCCACTTACTCTGTATATCCCATCAACATCCAAACCTAAGAGAAAAAATATATATTTTTATGATTAAAGTACTGTTAGTCTCTTCTAAAAATGCTTGTGTGTTTTGGAATTCTTATTCATGAGCATTAGCCTAAAATCAAATGGGTAAATACTCTCTCTCTAAATGGTTTTTTAATAGATGCTTTGCCAGGGAGAGAGAGGTAGAGATTCACTGTGAATTCTGTTTAATACACAGTAATAATTGTACTTTGTTTATGATGTTGACTGTGAATCTGTGGAAGACAATTATCTCATTAAACCTGAAATACTAACAACTTAAGATAAACTTCTGTAAACCCTTTGGGACAGTTCAACAAGTAAAGAAAGCCATAGGTAAAAGCAGCCTACTCTTAGTTTTGCATCCACTTTATAATGTAATGCACATATTAAAGCATTCTCTTGAAAGTGTGTGTCATATTAAGTACTTGTAATAAATAGTTAGCAATTAGTGGTTCTACAGAAATAACTGGTAACATGATGTAGAGTTTATTTATTTTCTTTCATATGTGAAACAGACAATCAGCTGACATTCACACAAGTGAACCTTAAAAACTCAGGTATTCTACTATGCTATCCATCTAACTTCAAACAAAGACAAGTAGCTTGGTGTTCCTACTGTCATACTGCCAAGAAGAGTCAATGAGACAAGAGATCCATGACTGACGGATTTATAGGTTAAATTACACAACTACTGTAATGGAACCAAGATTGGCCAGACATCATCTTTCATACTTTGGTCATGTTACCAGAAAAGGACCAGTTCCTGGAGAAGGATATAATGCTTGGTAAAGCAGAGGGTCTGAAAAAAGGGAAGATCCCCAACAAGATGGATTGACACAGTGGCTGCTCAAGCATAGCAGCAACTGTGAGGACGGTACAGGACCAATGTTTCATTCAGCCCTACACAGGGCTGCTATAAGTCAGAAGCAACTCGACAACATCAAACAACATTTTCTTTGTGCAGATGTTTTGAATGAATGATACATGGATATAAGTTAATGTGATTATAGTCAATATACTGCTAAAAATCATTATAAATATAATTATAAATATATATTATAAAAAACATTATAACTGCTAAAATTAACCAAAACAGAAGTTAGCTTTAATTTTATTTCAAAGGGAATGACATAAAAAGGATTTGTCTACTTAGACACTTCCTAGTTGATTTAACAGTTTTAAAATGACATTTCATTTTTGTTATAAACAAAAGAAACTTTTCCATAGTAAATAAACACAATCTCCTCATCTCTTCTACACTGTCAACTTCTTACTAAACTCAGTTTCACAATCACCACCTTCTTTGTTTTAAGCCAATGATAACCCCAAATGGCTTCAATGAATACCAGACACTTAATCAATCATTTATTCTCCATAGGTTTTAATTTGAAACAGGTGCAAACATGTAAATTGTCTGTAAACAAAACGCTTTTCTTAACATCTTACCTTGTAACTACTGGGAACTTGTGGTTGCATTACTATGAATCATAAAAATCCTAGAGATTTTGATAGCAAAACAATGGGTTGGTTTGTGTCACGTTTTTTAAAAAAAAAATCAAATCATTTTCTTACCATGTTCTTCAACATGTTCAATGCATAACTTCACAAATTTTGGTACTGTGCCATTCTCTCTCTGACACAGATTAGCAAGATTGGATCCAAATACTTGATCTGAAAGAGATTTAATTTTTAAAACAAACCACCCTGCCAAAATTCAGTTCACAAAATGGCTAAATCAATGCAATTCTTTTACCATGACTTTCACCTTGTATCATTTGCACTCTGCCTACTTTCTTTAATTTCACTTTATACAAATTCTTTACTAAGCTCTGTGAATACCATGACTAATTAATTCATGTCTGAGAGCCTTTGTATTTTCTATTCTTTTTGCAAAAAAGCATTCTTCCTGCAAATTTGGCTCCTCCTCATCACTCCTGGTTTCAGCTGAATGTCACTTCCTTAGGAAAACCTTCTGGTAAGTCTAGCTAACTCAATTCTAGTCACACTCTTACTTTATTATCATCTTAGTTTCTTCATAGTAATCATCATTATCTTAAATTATCTTGTCTACTCATTTATTGCATCTGTCTCCCACTTGAACATACTTTTCATGAGGGCCGGAACCTTGTAATTCTTGAACAACAATTGGTATTTATCATACCTAAGATTATAACTAGCACTTAGCAAATGCTCAAATACTTTAAAAACTATTAAATCAAGCATGTGCATGCCCTATGTGCCAACACTTGATTTCACAAAATATATTCCAAAGGCAGTTCTATTAATCTTTCTAACATAAAAGTTCTGAAATTTCACAATAGGGCTAAATATTCAGGAAAACAAACATAATATTTGATGTGCTGTATAAAACCATACAGTGACAGGCTAGATTTCTCAATGAAAAGGCCAGGGAATAGGTTAGTTAGTTTGTGTTCATTTATTTTATCAGGCTTTTTAATTTTCTTAAAAGGTTCTAACCTCAATTGATAAATTCATATGTTTTATTTAGAAGTAACTGTTTATCCATAACTCTTAAGTTTGCTAATTTCAATCATCCAATTAGGTAAACTCTGTCTAGACATCTTTTAAATAACTTTCTAAAGACATTCATTTGTGTATTTTAATTTGTTGTTGTTGTTGTTGTTATGTGCCGTCGAGTCGGCCCGGACTCATAGCGACCCCTCCTTGGGTTTCCGAGGCAGTATCACTACGGAAGTAGGATTGCCCAACCTTTTTTTTAATTTAGATGATTTAAAAACAGATGTTCTGATGACAAACCTATCTTTATTAGAAACTTCATAATCAGAGACAAATACGACATTTACATTATATGTCACCTTAGCATAAATACCTCTATTTTGTTTTCAGTCATATATTACAAAACTTTACCTGAGGAATTTACACTTATGCCTGTAAGAGCTACAGGTATATGAGATTTTACAGAATTCTTTCTTACTTAAGAAAAAATACCATTAGCACATTTTGGTACTTATAAATAAAATAAAAATTTATATAATTAGAAAAAAAATCTCATATTCATTTAAAAATTACCTTAAATGAGAATCGAAGGCAAACTATCAGGAATCAAACAGGTTTGGTGATTTTTTTTCATCTCTCTCTCTCTACTTTCTCAGTAGATATCAGTTACTAGTTGCTGTGGAGCCAATTTTTACTCATGACAGCCCTGTGGGTGTCAGAGTAGAACTGTGCTCCACAGGGCTTCCAATGGCTGACTGTGTGGAAGAAGATCAAAAGGACTTTCTTCTGAGGTACCTCTAGATGGCCAGCACCTCTGGGTATACTTGAACCCAGAACTTTTCAGTCAGCAGCAGAGTGTAGTAACTGTTTGGAGACTACTTAGTGATGGTTTATTAAAAATTTCTAATTTCTTTGGACCTGTGCATCTCAAAGCTAAAACTCTTCACTGTCATGACGTCTAAAAATCACTACTGTCCTATCAGTGTAGCTTCTCTTCTCTGGTACAGGTTTTCTAAGAACTTAGTTTGGTATTTATGTCTATTCAGTGCTTCAGTCAAAATAAGCATTTCATGCACATAAAAAAATACAAGTTCAATTACACAAATACATTTTCATCAACTAAGAACTTTATGAGTAAGGAATAAGAATATTTTTACTGATCGGAAATTTTTCAGTTTTTAATTTGAAAGTTCTTATTTCTTTCTGATTTTGGCCCAAGTTCATTACTGTAAATATCACGTTTCCTGTTGTTGTTATGTGCCATCAAGTCAACTCAAAGCAACCCCTTGAGTTTCCAAGGCAGTATCACTACGGAAGTAGATTGCCCAACCTTCCTTCCAAGGAGTGGCTGGTGGATTTGAACCAGCAGCCTTCTGGTTAGCGGTCAAGAGTCTTAGGCAGTATGCTACCAGAGCTTTCCCACACCTACTTACCTTTAATATAACCTTTTTCACGAACAGCTTGCAAAGTGGGTCGTCGTGTAAGAAACTTTTTTAAGTTTTTCTTGGTTTTTTTCTGTTCTGAAGAATCTATGCTAGATATTTTCATGGCTAAAGACAGACAGACAGACATTAAGCATTTTTATAAAGTAGAAACTTTCTGGATAACAAAGTTTTTCCACCTTGTACTTAAAACACATTCATCTCATATATAAAAACCACAGTTATCATTTCAGTTTTTCTAACTACTTTAATATGGTTTGAGAGTAACATACAAAGAACTGAACTAATGCAGACCTAATGTCAAAGTTATAAAAAACAAAACATTTCATCACTAAAAACTGACTCAAAACTGCCTTCTTTGGTATATGTACCAAGATATCCCTAAGTTATGCTAATTTATACTAGCTATTTCACAAATTATGCTACTTATCTTTCACTTTTGGAAAGTAAAATGACGTTAAAAAAAAATCCCTATCCTTATTGAAATAGGAGTCTGGCTATATATATATATATAATCATCTCTATTTTGAGCTAAGTCATCATAATTACTTTTACTGTGTGCTAAGAATGAGACAGGAGTTCTGGTAGCATAGTGCCTAAGGCACTTGACTGCTAACCAGAAGGCTGGCAGTCCAACCACTCCTCAGAAGGAAGGTTGGGCAATTTACTTCCATAGTGATACTGCCTCGACAACCCAAGGAGGGGTCGCTATGAGTTGGGGCCAACTCAATGACACACAACAACAATAAGAATGAGACATTCTGGAAAATATGTAGCCCCTTCCTGAACTGACAGAATTTTAATCACAAAGGTAGAGTGACTTTAGTACTGAACTTATTTTTTGGTTATAATTCAAAAAATCCAAAGAGTACTCTTCTTGAAAATAACTATATTTAGGAGAGTTATGGGCATAAATATATTAATAAAGAATAAAAAAATCATATTTTCATGGCTTACATTGTTACATAGTGACCAGGTCAGTAACAGCCCTAAACATTAGTAGAATGTGGGAGAAAAAAAGCGTACCTGATTTTCTAATTATTCATTAATTTGAGGGCCAAAAAACTACCAGAGTTAAATGTGAATTTGTTAAAAATAGATTTATCAATGTGAAATCCCAGTTTATGACCTCTTTAAACATTTAAACAAGTGTTGCATTAGAGAATGCTATTCTTAAATTTGCTGGCTCTAGCTATAATCTTTTATGAGTAAATGACATGGAAGTACACATGCGTACTGAGGCACACGCGCAGACATATCCCTATTCTACAGATGGCTGTCTCCCATTCAGTAAAGGACGATGGTAGATGGACCACAACTTTTGACTTCTTAAAGCACTGGATTCTATGTAGAATCTTAAGCATTAACTACATATTTGTAAGTCAAAGTTCAATTCACTGAAAGGCCTCAAGAGGAAAGCATTAGGATAAATTTTTTTTCCTCCTGAAGTATCACAATATCTTAAACTTTAAATGATACATTAGGATGCATACCATGAGGCTCAAAAATAACAATGAGTTAAGAAGAGAGAGTTCTGAAACACTGAGACTGCAACTTCAGAGTTACTCAAAATTTTGTTTATAACACTGGAGACTACACTGTAAATATGCTTTTACATATTTAACATCTCTGAAAAGGTAAGAGAACAAGTTCACTCAAACAATTAGCAAAATAAGAAAGAACAACTTACAACGAAGTTTTTTAGGGTCCTTATGGTCCTTTTCTTTATCATGCTTTTCTATTCCCGGTGAATCTGGGATTTCGTCTTCAAGTGCTTCATCAGTTTCTACTGTCTGTAAGTTAGATATTTCAGAAACCCATATTACTTCTAGTATTACTTTAGTTGTAACAGCATAGTTCTCAGTATGATCAGTAACTGGTTGCATGATTTAGATATTTAATACATCTTTAAAAATGTTTTCCCTAGGTGGCACACAACTTCTGAATTCCAAAAAGAAAATATGGCTAATAATTCCCATTGTGATGGGTTTACACTGATAATGAAGCTGTCTTGCCTCATTCTGACCAACTGCACCTGTGTAACAGTAACAGTTATATGGTCAAGCAACAACCTATGATAATAGAACATAATGAAGATACATTCTGTGACAACAGAGTGAGATAAAGCTAACTAGCTCAACTACCCAATGGTGCATGAATTTGGCACACTGACAATCCTTTAAAATTATATTTTGTGCTAACAGTTAAGCATTACTCACAAATGTTAAGAATTGAAAGAGATTCAAGAGCTCCTCTACAGTCTAACCTGTTACTTTTACAGGTTAAAAAGTGTACTGAATTCTCAAAGCTAAAAAACTTTAGTTTTGCCTTTTACACTGATGTATTTATTTTACCAGGAATTTATACCTATGTATAGCATAAGGGGTAGCTCTAGTTTCTTCTTGGATATCCAACTGTTCCGGCACCATTTACTGAAAAGCCTATTCTTCCTTACTCTTCAGCAGTGTGAGGTCTGCTATGAAGTGCCTACTATATGTGGGTCTATTTCTAGGTTCCTTACTCCACGGGTCCATGCTCTATCCTTGCACAGATACCACACTGTCTTAATCACTATAGCTTTATAAAGTCTTGACATATGAGAGATCAAATCTCTCCACTTTCCTCTTCAAGAGGTCTTGGATATATATACTTAGCCTTTTGCATTTCAGTATGAATTTTAGAATACGTTGCCAAGTTCCACCAGAAAATCTATTGGGATTCTAAATCAGATCCAAAAACTTCAAATATATAAATCATTGGGAGGAAAATGATACTTTCATTCAATCTTTTAATCCATGAACATGACCTGTTTCTCATTTAACTGTATTTTCTTCAAGGTCTTTCAATAAAGTTTTGTAATGTTCCCTGAAGAGGTCTTGCACATATCTTGCTATATTTGTTATATTTTTGATACCATGTAAATGGTATATTTTAATATTTCAATCTGCTATAGTGCCTTTCCTTCACTTGGTTTATTCCTTTTGAACCTTTAGTCTTCAATTAAAAAAAATAAAACAACTCTCTTCAAGGCCTTCTCTGACCCTTCCACTAGGTTAGCCCCAACTTACTGGGCGTTTTACTTGTTGGACATCTTCTATCATCCCAACACTCACAACATTTTATTATATTAACTGCTCAGTTATCTGTCTTCAGTTCTCTTCTATCTTCATCTGTAAGTGCCATACAAAGGTGTAGCAGCATCTGGTTGCATACTGCTACATCCCCCATGCATAAGGCACTAACATATTAATAAATGTAGGCAAGATTCATGCTAACTTTGAAGGGACAGTAAACAGATGACTGTGATTAGAGCTAAAGTCCATCCTGGATCAAATATTGGAAAAGGTAGATTGGGCTCAGGTTGTTGAATTTTACTAGTCATAGAAGATTCCTGAGCAGGACATAAAATTGAAGGAATATAAAATGGACATTACATTTCACATAGCAATGTTATTAGGAATGGACGGGTGGAGGCTCAGATTAAATAAGGAAAAATATTTAGGAATTTACTCTTGATATAAATATACTGTCCATGGTTTCAGAAATAAATGGCAAGGAAGGGACAGGATTCAGAAATATCATATAATATTATATACTGCAAACAAAGAATTTATATATAGCTTGGTGATTAATTTGCTAGAAGAATTTGTAAAGAAGAGAAAGAGTCAAAGAATACTCAGATTCCACATCTAGGTGTTTTGAACTAAGCAAACCACGTTGTTGTTGTTAGGTGCCACTGAGTCGGCTCCGACTCATAGCGACCCTATTACAACAGAACAAAACACTGCCCGGTCCTAAGGCAGACTCACAATCCTTGCTATACCTGAGTCTACTGCTGCAGCCACTGTGTCAATCTATCTCACTGAAAAGCCTTCTCTTTAAAAAGAAACTTGGAGAAAACCAAGTCCAACCTCTCTAGTTTATAAGTGGAAAAAATTGAGGCTCACAGAGAAAGCACATTTTGGTACAACCTTTATTAATGAAGAGGCATCATCTATAAAATCTCTAAAAGACATCTCAATTTCTACAAAGCCAGTGATTTGTAAAAGAAAGCCAATATATTTTTTGTTTCCATTTAGTTTAAAACCATAAGCAAAACCAAACCTATGGCCATTGAGTTGATTCTGACTCATAACGACTGTATAGAATTACCCCATAGGGTTTTCAAGGCTGTAAATCTTTACAGAAGCAGACTGTTACATCTTTCTCCTGCAGTCGCTGGTGGGTTCTAACAGGCAACCTTTCAGATAGCAGCCAAGTGCTTAACCACCGTGCCACTAGGGCTCCTATAAAACTATAACACACTCCCATAAATATGATGGTTCATCTCTATCACTGTCATGTTCCCCAGAAGCCATGTTCCCTTATGAAAAGGGGTAAGAATGCAGAGCCTAAAAAAAGTACAGCCAATTTATTACTGTTCTTACTAACAGAGCTTCAGAACTTGGATGTGAGGTTCTTTCTGACTGCTGTCATATAAAGAAGTTACCAGAAGTTACGAAGGAATGAGACACTTCTTGGGGGAAGGTGTGTGTGGGGGTGTCAACTGGAAGGAAGAAGTGCTAGTGAAGAGACTACAGTTTCATTCACTTAACAATTTTGCCTAGAGTGTGTTTCCACCAATAGTATTATTTTCAACTCATTCAGTCATAGAATAAATACTATGTGCCAGGCACATTTTCACTGCTCCACTTTACTGAACTATTTCTTTGTGGATCAATGTCTAATGTTAAAATTATTTCAAATCCATTATAGCACACGTTATATAAATGAGAATGTTCAAATATTCACCAGCCCCTGAGATATGCTAAACTGACCATTATCTTTACCAAACCAAAACCAAACCAAACTCACTGCCGTCAAGTTGTTTCTGACTCATAGAGACCCCTCCCTGAGTTCCTGAGGTGGTATCTCTACAGAAGTAGGTTGCCCAGTCCTTCTGAGGAGTGCCTGGTGGGTTTGAACCACCAACCTTCTGGTTAGCAGTCAAATGCCTTAGGCACTATACCACCAGAGCTCCCTTATCTTTATGACCTCTCACAAAATATATACGAAAAACACTTATTTTCACGTATAAATTGGAATCTAATAATATGTGATACGGAATTAGAAAGCCAAAAAGCTCTGAAGTAAAAATTTTACCTAAGTCAAACACATACCTGATTATTGATAGTACTACTAAGAACTGTAAACCAATCATTAATAACAGTATCATTATCAGACTGAATTAGTAGTTCTGTTCCTTGACGGGTTTTCAGCTTTAGAGAAAAGGAGGAGAAAAAGAGAGTATAGTTAGTATTTTTAACAAAATAAATAAATACATTTAATTCAAAGTTTACAGAACCACCAGTAGAAGATCAGATGCCATGTATTACATTAACAGTATGAAAGGCTAAGTAGTACAGCTACGGAGTACCTTTCATTTTTAGCATAAAGTTGTACAAGTTATTTTACATACTATGAAGTTGTGTCTCATAATCCATGCTCAATGGAAATCTAATAATTTAAGATTCCAAACTCTAATATACAAATGCCATAAAACCTGCTAGGATCTAGTACATTCATTTAAAAATAAGCTCAAATATCAAAGCCATACATTTTTCATTGAAATGAAACATAATTCATTTGAAAAGAAATAAAATGTATGATATTTTTATATAGACCTGACAAGCTTTTTTTTTTTTCCTTCTCTCCCTTTGGCTAAAAAATATAGAAAAAGAATTTATTGAAGGTTATGCCTTCATTGTTTCTTATTTAATAGGCAAGTATAACGGCTTAGTACAAAGGAAGGCCAATAAATATCACACACTTTTGGACAGGAAAATAAGCAAATAATCAAATCATGAAGTAAAAATACTATGTATTGTTCTCTATAAAAGTAATAACAATTTACGTATAATCTCTTTAGTTCAAAGTTTCTTACACTTGACTGAAGAACTCTGAGGTAGTAGTAAAAAGCTTTCCTTCCATTTTCTTGTTTATTATTGTTGGATTTCTTTTTCTCCTAGAGAACCATACAGCAATGCTTCCCAAATGACATTCTGAGAGACATACTTCTACTCAAACCAAACCACAAAAACCAAACCCACTGCCACGGAGTCGATTCCGACTTATAGTGACCCTCTAGGATGCAGAACTGCCTCATAAGGTTTCCAAAGCTGTACATCTTTACAGAAGTAGACTGTCTCATCTTTCTCCTAGAGAATGGCTAGTGAGTTTCAACCAGCAACCTTTTGGTAAGCAGCTGAACACCTTAACCACTATGCCACCAGAGCTCATACTACTCAAACACAGTTCTCTAAATAATGTTTAAATAAGTATTCCTCAAAATAAATAAAACAAGAACAGTTATATGACATTAAGTTGGGAAATACTAACTTGAAGAAAGTTATACTAGTCCCTCTCCTTCAAAGCTTCTCAGGGCTTTGATATTCCAGAGGGAATTGTACTTTTTTGAGAGAGGAATAAAATATATACTATTTTCCAAATTTACTTGACCATGGAACCCTTTTCATTCTGGAAACACCTACTGAAATTGCAAGGCTAGTGCCTGGGGTCTTAAAATATTACAAGCAGCCATTCAAGGCACAATTGGTTTCTATTTGCCTGAAGCAACAAAGAAAGAAGGTTCTCAGGAGTAGAAGGAAGGTAAGGAATGTGTGGCTAATTGCTTCCATGAACACCTGCCTCCTTTGCCATGAAACTAGAAGAACTGGACAGTGCCCAGCTACCATTTCTGAATACTTTGATCAAAGATTCTAAAGAAGATAATATGCAGAACAAATTCCAAATTCTCATGGACTCTAGACTTTCTATAGCCAAAGGGTCTGGATGAACCCCTGAAACTATTATCCTGAGATAACCTTTAAAACTTAAACCAAAATATCTTCTGAAGTCTTCTTAAAATCAAGCAATACTTTACCTTAACTAGTAAAAATTTCTCCCTTGAGCATTATTTGCTTTTGTAAGAATTATCAGATGGAATCAAATTGTCAACAGTAACTTGAAATGTTAGATAGGAACTTGGGGCAGTGAGTTTATGTTAATGGAAGAGGAGCAACTCAGGAAAGTGAAAGCAGTTGCACAACTCAAAGAATATAATCAATATCACTAAAAGGTACATGTAAAAACTCCTGAACTAGTATACACACAACATTAATCATTTTTTTTAAATAATAAATTTTCATGCATTCCTTTCTATTAGTGGGTCAAGTCAGTCAACCAATACTGAACTGCACATTAGATACTCTGTTAGAGGCTGTTACTCAAAGAAAAGGGAAAATACAGCCTCTAGTTTAAATTTTTTAATTTTAATGAAGTAGTCAGAGGATAGCTTACAAATGATGATAATCCAAGACAGACTGAAATAAATCTTATTTTAAAAGCATAAACCAAGAAAAACCATCATTGTTGAGGTGACACTTGACATGGGTCTTGAAAGATAGGTAACATTTGAAAAGCAGGGATTGGCATTGCTCAAGGCAAAACAATAAACAGAAGTACAAATCATGTAAGTAAGAAAACTTGGATTCTGTTTGGAAAATAGCAAATTAATCCAATCTACCTAGACAACAAGATAGGAAAGGACTGAGACATGAGCCCAGAAAGATAGGCTGGGACCGGGAAACACTGTTTGCAAAGACAGCAGCATTGATTCCTCTATCTCCATATGCAGGAGCTCTGGTGGCCTAGTGCCTCAGGCATTTGACCGCTAACCAGAGGGCTGGCGGTTCAAACCCACCAGCCACTCCTCAGAAGAAAGATTGGGCAATCTGCTTTCCATAGTGATACCATCTGGGAAACCCAAGGAAGGGTCACTATGAGTCAGATCCGACTCCGTGGCAGTGAGTTGTTTTTTCGTTTTTAAATCTCTTTATGCACAACCCCCTGCAATATGACTTTGCTGCTTCTCCATCAGCACAGGGACTTTAGTTCCTCATCCCTCTGAATACCAGGCTGGACTTCTGACTTGTAGAATACAACAGAATACAGGGAGAGTGATGTGGGACTTCCAAATCTAGGCCTAAAGAAGCCTTGCAGCAAGCGCTACTGAAGAAGAAGAAGAAAGTAAGAGGTTTCACACTTCCCAATCTCAAAACCTACTACTGTACAGCCACAGTAGTCAGAATAGACTGGTTTTGGTGCAACAATAGACATACAGAACAAACTCACCCACTGCCATTGAGTCAATTCTGACTCATAGCAACCCACTGGGTTTCCAAGGCTGTCAATTTTATGGAAGTAGACTGCCTCATTTTCCTCCTGTGGAGCAGTTGGTGGGTTTGAACTGCCAGCCTTCTGGTTAGCAACCAAATGCGTTACCCACTATGCCACCAGAACTCCAACATACAGACCAGTGAAGAGAATTGAGAGTCCAGAAATAGATCCATCCATCTGTGGACAGTTGATCCTTCACAAAGGGCCAAAATCCATTAAATGAGGAAGAGACCGTCTCTTTAACAAATGATGCTGGCAAAAATTGGATATCCATTTGCAGAAAAATAAAACAATATCCATATCTCACACCAAACACCAAAACCAGTCTATTCTGACTACTGTGGCTGTACAGTAGTAGGTTTTGAGATTGGGAAGTGTGAAACCTCTTACTTTCTTCTTCTTCTTCAGTAGCGCTTGCTGCAAGGCTTCTTTAGGCCTAGATTTGGAAGTCCCACATCACTCTCCCTGTATTCTGTTGTATTCTACAAGTCAGAAGTCCAGCCTGGTATTCAGAGGGATGAGGAACTAAAGTCCCTGTGCTGATGGAGAAGCAGCAAAGTCATATTGCAGGGGGTTGTGCATAAAGAGATTTAAAAACGAAAAAACAACTCACTGCCACGGAGTCGGATCTGACTCATAGTGACCCTTCCTTGGGTTTCCCAGATGGTATCACTATGGAAAGCAGATTGCCCAATCTTTCTTCTGAGGAGTGGCTGGTGGGTTTGAACCGCCAGCCCTCTGGTTAGCGGTCAAATGCCTGAGGCACTAGGCCACCAGAGCTCCTGCATACAGAGATAGAGGAATCAATGCTGCTGTCTTTGCAAACAGTGTTTCCTGATCCCAGCCTATCTTTCTGGGCTCATGTCTCAGTCCTTTTCTATTTTGTTGTCTAGGTAGATTGGATTAATTGCTATTTTCCAAACAGAATAGAGACTGGTAAAACCCCTGAGACTATGGCCCCGGGTTACCCTTCAGGCCTGGAACTGGACTCACTCCCATGGGTTAGCGCTCAGCTAATCAATAGACAGGACTACAAGCTAAATATCAACCCTAGGGAGATGTACTCCTTAGAACAGTTAACCCCAAGAAATTGGAAGGGAAGCATTTGTGTAGGGGAAAAACTAAACATACAGGAATGCATAGGTAAGGACACAGGGAAGGAGTAACCACAGGGAAGTGGTAGGAAGAGAACTGTTCCACTGTGGGGACTGTAGTCGGTGCCGTGAAACAAAATGTGTATGAACTGTTGAATGTAAAAATAAGAAGCCTTGCAGGTTCTACTCTTAATCTCTTGGACACTAACATAGCCACATGAAGAAGGCTGGGACAGCCTCCGTGAATAAGAGATCTTATGGAGAAAGAAGTCTCACCAATAGTGGTACCAATACCAGACATATGAATGAGGCTGTTTTAGACCAATCAAGCCACTAGAACATTGAATCATCATGAATGATCAAGGTGAAAGCACTGGAAGACCCATCCAGGTCAGCAGATAAAACTGAGCAAACATTATTGCGGTTATGCTAAACTGCTAAGTTTTACGGTTGTGCATTATATAATAAATAACTGAAACAGGGTCATTATATTACTATTGTTGTGTTGTTGTTGTGATGTGGAAGGCTTTAAATGACAAAATGGAAAGTCTTTAATGTTTTGTGGAGGGAGGGTTAAGGTATTCTTAAACATCCATAGAGAAGGGGAAACATGTCCTTTCTGCTGTTGCTGGGGAAATGCACAATTTGTAAAACAAAGGTCTGTAACACACAGTCTGAGTTACAGTAATTTATGCAAAGGAGTATCTGATTTTTACACCAAGCTTTTTTTCTTAAATCACAATAAAAATGTTGCCTTAAGTGGTCACAATGAAAGACTATTTCCAAATAATTCAAAAACATAGAATATCCAATTACTACAGTCAAGAAATATGAGTTATCCTTAGAAACAAAATATTACCTCAAAAACATTCTTTTTGCTGGATTTATCCTTTGATGCCATCTCAATTGTTGCCCCCTTGAGGTCCACTGTGAACTCTGGTTTAGACTGATTACTCCCAAACTTCATTTTGGGAAAAAAAAGAAAAACGTCCATGTGATATTCATATTCATATCATATTCAATCTCCATACTTGCATTCAAAAAAGAATCAACACCAATTTCTTATTATTAACAATAAATCAAATAGAATATTAGCTCAGATTCTTCTCTTTCTATATTATAAAATAACAACTCTCATTTTACGATTGAAAAAATGTCTAAAGAATATGAATGTGCAGGTTACAGAAAAAGAAATTAAATGGCTGAACTTCCATCATAACAACACAAAAATAAAAACAACACAAAAAACCCACACTGAAATAATTTCTCACCCAACAGAATGGCAAACAAATCAAAACAAACGTGTGATGAAAAAACTATGTTGGTGAGTTACGAAGTAATAGGCACTCTCATATAATGTGTACAGGAGGAAGGAGATTGGCAATACTGTATTTGCAAATTTGCAAACACATGTATCCTTTGACTCAGCAGTTCTATTTTCTTGGAATTTATCCTATACTACATATGGCTATGTGAAATGGCATGTTCAAAAAGGCAAGACAATATTCTTATATATGTATGAATAAACCCAAAAAAAAACAAACTCATTGCCGTTCAGTCAATTCTGACTCATAGTGACCCCTCCTTGGGGTTTCTGAGGCAGTATCACTAAGGAATTAGATTGCCCCATCTTCGTTCCAAAGAGTGGCTAGTGGGTTTGAATTGCCGGCCTTCTGGTTAGCAGTCAAGTGCCTTAAGCACTACACTACCAGAGCTGCCATATCTATGAATAATATCTGGTAAATATCAAGTGACTTCCATCTAATAAACATTTCTCCACTCGAGTCTATGCTTTCAACTTACCTTCTTACAGACTATTTTGTCAGCAACTAATCATAACTTGTGAAAACATAAAACAGTAATCCCAAGCTCTTTTACCCAGGCTTTGTCAGAAATTATAATAAAAGTCTGATGCCATAAAGCACCAGCAATTTAATGAGGAACTGTGAAAAGAATGGGAAGATAGTTGCCATGGGTGGTTTGGGATGAAAAAGCAGTTAACTAGCTAATATATTTTGTTAAATAGATAAGGAATAAGGAAGTCTAGCAAAGAGCAGAAAATTTATGTTAAATTTACACTTACTTTGCATCTTACCATCATTAATTTAAATTTCTGCTTAAGTCTTGTTAACTAAGAATAGCAAATAGTGGTCCTATATTATTGAAAGGTTTGGCGGCTTCAAGACCTCCAAGGGCTGTTGAATTGTAATCTTGAATTCATAAAGATTTGTTGTAGGAAATTTCATTTGCTAAAATATTTATCATGTAAAAGTGTTCATTTCAAGTCAAATCATGTTTATCATTAGAAATGGATTCTACCCACCAACCTATGATAACTTATTCACTAACTGTAAGGTCAACAACTCTACTCTTCACACTTAATAAGTGGTACAACTTCACTTGTTATCTCTGTGCCTTTTATACTTCATCATTTCAGCTGGCTGTGTGGGCTTAAAGAATGAACTCATTATAACAAACATAACAAAATTTAGGAATCATACGGACTTTATTAGTGGAATGGAAACAAAATTTAGGGTATCATATGGAATTTATTAGTAGACTCATAATAAAAACCACAATAAAAAGTTTTAACTGCATTCTACAAAGTCTACCTTTTTAAGTACACTTAGTCATTCAAAAGACATACATGATTACGATTTTATTAACCATAATGCTGTAATGGGTATCGATAATTTCCTGAACATAAATATCAAGTTATAAAATGTAAATTTATCTATTTAACAAAACGACAAAAATTAATTTGTTACATGCTCTGTAGATGGTTAACTATAACCTAAGGGACAAATAAGATAGAGGAACCAACTAGAAGTACAACGACCTGACATGGAATGTCAGAAAAATCTATTCAGTCTGGTTGGCAAAATTTCTTGTTTACTATTTATTCTTTTTCAAAATCTACTCCCACTTTTCTCTATTGAAATCACCCCCCCCCAATGTATTCATGGCAAAGAAAACAGAATTACTGTGGCAAGAGACATGCAACAAGAACACATACAGTGACAGCTGAAACAGGATCAGATTTTACATATGCGACAGCAGGCCGGCGACTGACAGAATTTTTCCAAGAAGAAAGCAGCGAAAGCAAGAGCTCAGAGACTGAGCCCTGTTGGCAAAATGACTTGATGGAAAAAGGGAAGAAAATGATGATGTCATAACAGTGCAAAATGGCAAAGTGACACATAAGAGAAAAACATAATGGAACTCGATAGGACAAAAACAATTCTATAAGCAGACATACAACACAGGCAAAGCTAAACTTTCAAATATTTTTGCAAAGTCCTAAAATTTATCTTAAAATATTTTCTGTCTTAAGTTGTTATATAAACTCATATATTTTACTTTTAAGATGAAATGCTTTATAACAGTTTACACTGAACAGAAAACTACAGAAAGAAGTCTAGTCCAGGCTTCCACCACCTACTCAACCCCTTCTCAGAAATCCCTGGTCTTCTTGCTCATGACCTGTGGGACAATGTCCTCTGATCTCGCTTTCCAAGTCTTTTATCAGGAGAGGCCCTATCCTCTAGCTTGCCTTCTGGACCAAAGGGAATTCTGTCTTCTAGGGGACATTTAGAATGCATGGAGACATTTTTAGTTGTTACACTAGAGGGGCAGGGGTGCTACTGGCATCTGCTGGACATCCTACAATGCACAGAACAGCTCTCCACACCATTACATGGCCCCCAAAAGTGACTATATTTAGAGATTTGAAAACAAGTATAAACAAATTTTTGAATACCAGCAGGTATTTGTGGGGTGATTTTTAAAACACTGAAGAAATGTGATGAATGATATCTGAGAGGGGACATAGCGTATGTCAAGTAGTGTAGCTGTTCACTTGCTGGTCTCTCCACTACAATGTAAACTTTGAAGACAGGGGCCATGTTATTTACCTTATTATTCATAAACAATACCCCCTATAATATACATCTTATATAAACTATAAACCCTCAGAGGCTTAACACAATGCCCAGAACACTGCAGGCTTGTATGTTTGTTGAACAAACAAAATGAAAACAACTTAAGGAGAAAGCAAGTATACATTTCTATTACTGATAAAACAATCTAGCGGACAGCATCTAGAAGGTATCAATTCTAAAAGAAAAGGACAAGCTCAGTAGATTTTTGGATGGTATATCATCTACGTAGAATTTATCTTACAGAGCTGCATGCAACACACATGCATTTCACTTATTCAATTTCAACTATACATGCTCAGCAAAAACTAAAAACAAAGCATGACTGATTTGAAAAAAAAAAATTCAAATGTGAATGATTCTGTTCAGCATTCTATCCATGAGTATACGCCCTAAAAAGAATATGTGATTCCATCTGTTACTTCTTCAAGTAGATCTCAGTTTATTTTCATGAACTAAATGTGATTCTAATGTTTAAAGAAACATACTTCTCTTATAATATGGCCCATTAACATAAACCATCCAATCTCAACTAAAAGAAAAGCAATCTCTTCCAACACCAGAGAAAAAAAGTCAGCTCTGCTAGAAGTGAGCTTCTAACATAAATGTTCCTAAAGAATATTCAAAGGCAATTTTCACTGTAGATAATTTTTGTCTTTTGGACCAGTTATCAGACTTAGAATCTTAACTTCAGGTAAAATATAATTCCACTGAATATATTTTCCCTACAATAAATCTAATTGATGATATGGCACAGAAACAATTCTTTTAAATCCCTTGTGAACAACTCTAATTACTAACAAATGGAGAATCCTGCATCTAACAGCAAATTCTGGTATTTACGAATATACAATAATATACACCAAAATACACTGTACATGTTCTTTACCTTTTAATCATATAATCTTACTTGCTTCTACATAGGCTATTTAAGCTAGTTTTCATTTCCTTGTTAACATGGGAATGGGAAAAGCAAGACAGTCTGAGGTTTTTAAATTTGCCATAAAATAAAAATCAAGAATTGAAATGCATAATAAGCATTTTACCACATCCTACATCTGCTTTGTCTTTTTAGAGACTATAAAACATAGTGTGACTGAATTTCATCTCACTATGTCAATCTGAAAGGACAGAATATAAAAATAACAGTAAACTTTCATTTAAGTGCAAAAAATGCACATAGTGAATCCCTAAATTTAAAAAAAAATCATTAAGAATTCTACAAGTTCAAAGGTTGGCTCAGTAAATTTTAAAATATGTTTCAACTACTGAAACATTGTAATACACGTCAACTGATTAACAGAAACATCTCATGTCCTTTGTCAGGATTAGTTTTAATTACCAGTTCTGAATTATATAAGGTCTTCAAGAGTGAAAACTTTAAATAAAATGCAACTATTCTGTACTAATGACTGCATGTGGGGCTATTCATTGAACACCTTCAATTTTTTAAAAAACTTTTTTCTTTTTATCACATACAAACCTGTCTACCTAAACCATAGCCCACTTAGTACACTGCTCTACCGACTTGCTTTATTTATACAAACCACAACCTTTAATCTTTAAACACCATGAATTATATAAATGGCCATTATTTAGCTTTCTACAGGTACTGTTTCACTACTAATCTCTAATTTCTTCTCCATTTCTTTTCTTTCCTTCATTTAATTTCAAATAAAACTTGAGCCATAAGTAGGAAGGAAGAAATAATTACACTGTCTTCTAGAAAAGCATTAACATAAAAACATTTAACATTTAAACATTTAACATTTTCCCTCTGGGGAAAAAGGAGAAAGTCATAATAGCAATTTACTTTAGAGTAAGTTGAACAAATTTTCAATTCTTTTAATTTGGAAAGCATTTCAGAAGTCATTTCCATTGTACTGACTGAACCAAGAGCAGATCAAAGGATTAGTGAAGCAAAACAGAAGAAAAGTCCCAGGATGTTCACACTCATGCTCAATTCGTGTGGATTTTTAGGTTAACATTTGAAGACTAATAAGCTCATTGGCATTTCTGGTTCTGAACAATGCTACGTGGCTGCATTACAAATGTAGATTACTAAAATTTGGCTGCATGTTATAAATGGATTTCTCTTTCATCTAACATATGGTCCATAAGTCCTATTAAATTTTTTAAGGCCTATTAATTTTAAAGAAACTTAGTAATTCTAAGAAAATACTGGTTAAGATAGGATATAAAGCAGATCCAATATTTAGATTAATTTCATTTTAAATATTCTTTAAGTCATTACCACTTCAGCCTTAATTACCACACAATTCTAGAAATGTACAAAACATGAACTCCAGAGACAAAGTACCCAAGTTCTAAAGCTAGATTTGACATTTAATAGCTGTTGAGACCTTGAGGAACTTAATTGTTTCATACCTCATTTTTTCACCTATAAAAGGAAGGAATGATACACAGTGCCGTGCCTATTCCAGAGATGTTCATCATTATAGACATAATAATCTTCTGCACTTGAAACAATGCTGATACATATCATATATTCAAAAAATATTAGTTATTATGGTATGTCCCAAATTATAATTTTTAGAATTGGTAATACAAATGACTGAGGAATAATGATAGTAAATACGCAACACAAAAATGTTTCAAAATTAGTTCTTCTAATAACTGGCCAATATTACACATAGACATAGACACCTGAATCACTGATTAGTATCCAAGGGGTGAGATCACAATTCAAGGTGGGCTTGCCACATTATTGCTTGTTTTCTGACTAAATACCTGAAATAGCAAAGTCATAAACACAGTAAAGCATCAACATCTTGCTACTGAATCAAGAAGGGTATTTATTCTTTGAGGCCCAAGTACTAGGCCCCAAATTCCAGTGCAGTTGATAAAACAAAATTTATTCATTATAATAACACAATTAATTAGGCTTCTCTAATTAATCCTCTTCCTCTTATAGCTCAAAATGCATCTTTAAGAAAATTTCATTTATACACCAGTTCTATAGTTAGTAGACCTTTGGAAATTACTTTCTGAAATTCAAGTACAATCATATTCAAATAATTTAAATGCTTAAAGCCTCCAAAAAGAAATACTTACCCAACTTGTGCTACTTCCTTGAGTTTTGGTAAAAAGTAAAGATGAACCCTGCAACACTGCCCAAGAAGACAACCAGTTCTTTCTGTAATTATAAAGATGACTAATTAAAGCCACACTACCCAGTTCTTCCAATTACATTTTAAAATTTAGAACATACTTAGCTATTATCGGTGCTAAACACAATTGATAGTCATTAACTGACATGTTAATTGGTTTTGTTGGGGATATAATGCTAATGGAAATAATCATTTTATGGTCCCCAACTGGCCATAAGGGCCCCCAAACAAACAGAATTACAGAGATAAGCTCTCAGAATAGCTATGAATGATATATCTAAACATGATCACATGAGACTAATTCAACAGTGATCAAGGACACTAATTTATTTTAGACTAACACAAACTGAACACTTTATTTTGGCAAGAGTTATTATTCATGATTAAAAATTAGACCAACATGCTAACCTCACCAAATTCCTTATAGATAGAGACTGTTTTATATTTTTTTGGTTTTCTCCTCCCTTCCTAATTGGACTGCACTAAGTAGCCAGTAGATATTAGGAACATTATAAACATGCTTTAACTGAACTGTTTTTTTCCCTAGATCTTGATATTTGGAAGTTTTTCTTTTCAGTGCTCTGAAATAGCTTTACAAATACTGTAATTATCTGTTCCTTAAATTATTCCTTGGTAGGATTATTCACTTTTAAAACTAGGTCTTTATTTTTCTCTTTCATCCTTTTGGGGATACGTAGTGCAAACAGGAGGAACCCTGGTGGCACAATGGCTAAGCACTTAGCTGCTAACCGAAAGGTAGAGTTCAAACCCACTCAGGGGTTCTGTATTAGAAAAGACCTGGCGATCAGTTCCCAAAAAGATTTCAACCTAGGAAACCCTACAGGGGCAGTTCTACTCTGTCCTATAAGGTTGTTCTGAGTTGGAATTGACTCAATGGCACACAACAACAACAACAGGGCAAACAGTTCTTTGTCACACTCTTTATTTTTATTGTTGTTTTTTTCTGTGACTCTCTTTTGGAATACTTTTGGTAATGTATGTTTTTCTAAGAAAATAATTCATCATTTTCAAATTTATTCACATAGAGTTGAGCAAAATAGTCTTTTTAAAAAATTATGGTAAAATATATAACAAAATTTGCTGTTTTAACCATTTTTTTAAGTGTACAATTAAGTGGCATTAATAATATTCAAAATGTTGTACAACCATTACCATCACCTATTTCCAAATTTTTTTTTTAAATCACCCAAGCAGAAACTCATTTCCCTCCTGCCCTACTCCCTGGTAACCTCTAATTTACTTTCTGTCTCTGAATTTGCCTATTCTAGATATTTCATATAAGTAGATCATCTAGTATTTTTCCTTTTGTGACTAGTTTATTTCACTTAGCATAATGTCTTCAATGTTGTAGTGTGTATCAGAACTTCATTCCTTCTTATGACTGAATTATATTTCATCGTATATTTATACCATTTTTTGTTTATCCATTCATCTGTTGACTGACACCTGAGTTGTTGCACCCTTTGGCTGTTGTGAATAATACTTCTATGAGATCTGACACATAAGTATCTGTTTGAGTCCCTATTTTCAATTCTTTTGGATATATACCTGTTGTTGTTGTTGTTATGTGCCGTCGAGTCGGCCCCAACTTATAGCGACCCCTCCTTGGGTTGCCGAGGCAGTATCACTATGGAAGTAGATTGCCCAACCTTCCTTCCGAGGAGTGGCTGGTGGGTTTGAACCTCCAGCCTTCTGGTTAGCAGTCAAGTGCCTTAGGCACTATGCTACCAGAGCTCCTGGATATATACCTAGGAGTGGAAATATTAGGTCGTATGATAATTTTATGGTTAAGGTCTTGAGGAATCACCAAAGTGTTTTTCCACAGTAGCTATACCATTTTACATTTCCACCAACAATGGCTGCAGGTTCCAATTACTCTACATCCTCACCAACACCATCACAGCAGGTGTGAAGTGGTGGTTTTTATCTGTATTTTCCTAATGACTGATATTCCTGCGCACCTGTTCCTGTGCTTGTTAGCTATTTGTATATCTACTTTGGAGAAATGCAGAATAATCTTTTAATTTCCTGTATAACAGTGGTTCTCAAACTTCTTGACTTGGGAACTCCTATAAATTAAAAAATTATCAAATAGTCCAAAGACCTTCTGTTTACATAGACAGAAAAACAGATACATACAGATGTTTACTGTGAAAAATTAAAAAACTGTTACATGTTAACATGAATAACATTCTTTCAGGAAAAAAAAATCCACATTTTGTAATACAAAAAGAAGTTTCAAAAGAAGAGTGGCATTGTTTTACATTTTTTTCAAATCTCCAATCTGTGACTTAATTGAAGACAACTAGAACACTATCAAAAAGACACTGCACATGACCTACAAATTCCACTTTTGTAAAAATTTCTCCTATAGGCATATCTGCAAAGTGAATTACGCAACATGGTAAGTGTAACATTATAACAGCAAAAAATTTCAAACATCTTAAATGTCTACCAATAGGGAATGGGTTAAATCAACCATAATATAATCATACAGTATGGAACAATGTAGTAGTCAAAAAGAACATGGCAGCTTTAAACATAATGGAACCATCCATCCAACATAAACTGTTGAAACAATGTGTTTAAAACTATAATCTAGGTACATACAAACACATACATATATATACTATCTCTGCAAGAAAGCACTAGAACTCATGAGACTTAATAAATAGTTGCCTCTTACGCTAAATAATGTAGAATCCGCAAAACACCACATAACAGGGATGAACTTGGAGGACATTATGCTGAGTGAAATAAGTCAATCACAAAAGGACAAATGTTGTATTAGTCCGTTATTGTAAAAGTTAAGGAAAGGTTTATCTATTGAAGGAAATTTTCTTTGTTGGTTACCAGGGGTAGGAGGGGAGGGGAGGGACTGTTGTTAGATAGATAGAGATAGATATTGATTTGGGTGAAGAGAAGGGCAATGTACCAAATGTGAGTGACCAATATGGCAGCATTGAGGATGAGAAAGACATAGAGAGGTACATGGGAAATACAGACAACAAATATGAACCCTTTTGCATATACAGTACTGAGTTCTCAGTGAAGGCAAACATGGGTATATGGATGGATAGATAGGTGGACAGGCTAAACGATTAGGTGTGTCTATGAAATAGGGAGTGTATCCAAGATCATATATAGGGTTGGCAGACAATGGTCCTATAAGTTTATGTGAATGATCAGAATCCCCAGGTGTATAGTAGAGCTGACAAAGGGCAAGGTTGTGGTTACTGCTTGGTCACAGCCAGCTACCCAGAGCCACCGAGTAGTTGATCCTGTGGGCTTGAGACCATAGTCACAGGGGACATCAAGCTCAATTGGCATAACATACTATACAAAACAATGTTCCACCTCCTACTTTGGCGAGTAGCGACTGGGATCTTAAAAGCTAGCAAGATGCCATCTAGATGCAACGATGGGTCTCTCCTCATCAAGAGCAAAGAAGAAAGAAGAAAACCAAAATTAATGGAAACAATCAGTCCTCGCGACTGGTACACCATCCGATCTGCAACCTATACAACTATGAGACCAGAAGAACTAGATGGTGCCCGGCTACCACTGTCATCTACTTGGAAGGGATGTAGGAGATCCTGGATAGAGAGGGAGAACAATGTGGAACAAAACTCAAAATCATTTGGAGGGGGGGAAAAAAAAAAAAAGATGGTTGGGACCAGGTTTGCTGGTCCAATAGAGCCTGGTGGAACCACTGAGACTATGGCCCTTAGCTGCCCTTCAGGTCTGGAATCGAACCCACTCCTGTGGTTTCTAGCCAAACAAAGTACAGGCATGTGAGTTAAACATTTACACACGCCCTGGAGAGAACAATCATGGGAGAAAGAGCTGCTTATGCACAGGGAGACAGCTCAGGGGACAGGAGAGTATGGAGGGATGGACACTGGGAAGTGGTAACTATGGGGAGGAAGTAGGAGGGGAGCTGTTGCATTGTGGTAAACTGTGGTCAATGACATGAGACAAAGTATATGTGAACTGCTGTATAGAAAGTGAATTTGCTCTGTAAATCTTCACCCAAGTCACAATAAATTTAAAAAAAAAAATCTCAAAAAAGAAAAAATAATAATAGTTGCCTCTGGGAGAGGAACTGATGGATGGGCAACTGATTTTTCAGTAAAAACTTTATGTACCTTTATTTTTTTTCCATGTGCATTTATTATCTATCCCTCCCCCCCAAAAAAAGGAATAAAATGATTTTAAAAGAAAGTTAAGGCTTCCTCAGAATCCTCTGCCTTTACACTGAATTTAATATTATTTTTTTAAAAAATATCAAGACAAAAGAGAATTTTAAGATACTTCATGACAATGTGACATACCTTATATCAGAAAATATGATTAGAAATTCTCATGAATTCTTTGTTTCTACTAGAACATAATTACATTAATAATTTATTTTAATCAGATGAAACATAACATTAATGGTTGGTGTACTTACCGAACTTTTTTCCCATTTTCAGTAATTTTTGTTACATTTAATAATCCATATTTCTCTTGACCCTATGAAACAGAACAGTACTGTTTATATACCATTCATATAGACAGTGAGGTCTAAGTTCTTATATATGATTGAAACAAAATGATCTGGTACTCTAAAAATTAGCTTAAAAGAAAAGATTAGTCAGTATGTAATATAATCAGTTCGAGAGTCCATTAAGAATATAACTTCCTAGTAATTCTGTAAAGTTATATTCAGTAATTTTATAATTAATCACTTCCTCTTCTCCTTATGTAATAGCCATCAGGTATTTTGCTAACACATTAGATTTCCATATGAATGCTACAAAGCAGCATTGGAGAATTATCTGTGTTCCTGTTCAAAATGATTGATACAATGTGATAAAGAACTGCAAAAAATAAATGAACATTATTTACTTTGCTGTTATTTTACAATGATAGACAGTAGTGTGGACATGACTTAATATACTAATCTACTGTGTCAGAACAGGAGCTCTGGCAGCATAGTGCCTAAGGCACTTGACTGGCAACCAGAAGGCTGGAAGTTCAAACCCACCAGCCACTCCTCGGAAGGAAGTTTGGGCAATCTACTTCTGTAGTGATACCGCCTCAGAAACCCAAGGAGGGGTCGCTATGAGTGGGGTCTGACTCGATGTCACATAACAACAACAAGTAAAACAAATGTAGAATCTGTATTTAATGAATTACTCAAAGGTAACTGGTATTATATATAGAACTGGCCTTACTGTGGCATGGAAAACTTGGTATGTGTTTCCTTAATTATATTATGAATGGTGAGTTATGCTCTAGACAAACTGGATTGATTAGTCAGCTGATGTCAAAAAAAAAAGTAATACAAGCTTTATCATCAAACCTTATGAAGGTGAAAGCCAATGTATTAGAGTAAATGTTATCTTAAAATTCTTCCAGACTGAACTAAAGAAGCATTTCATCATTGGTTTTAGTTTCCTATATCCAAATATATTTAATCAAAATGAGTCAGTGCCTAAAAGTAAGCACCAACATTAGTAAGCACTGTATGAACATGACACACAGTAAAATTTACTTCAACTGAAACACATAAACACACAAATAGAAACACAAATCCTCAATTCAGAATTTCTCTACTTAACTGATTGCTCAGCTAGTTCCTTCAATGCATTTTAGAAAAAATAAATCTTTGTCTTATATGCAATATAAACATAACATTTAATATTTTTTCAGTAATATCTAAAAGGTAATGTATGGAAGTTTTTCCTCGTCTGATAAAAACCTGCAGTTATAGACAAAGCTGACAAATTCTAGTGTTCATTCATATTTTTGGTGTACTGGGAAGTTGAGGAATACCTACATGAAGTTTTACTATAATTTATTCATAAAGCACAGGTTAGATCTCAGATACATGCAAGTCTGATACTTGTCGTAAGTGCTCTCTGGTGCCTCTATAACAATTACACAGATGTAAGTATGTGTTGTTGTTATGTGCTGTCGAGTTGGACCCGACTCATAGCGACCCCTCCTTGGGTTTCTGAGGTGATATCACTACAGAAGTAGATTGCCCAATCTTCCTTCCGAGGAGTATAGGATAATTAAGAACATTCTCAATTCACTAACCCTTTCATAAGCAGAGGGAATCTTTCAATGATGGGGGAACTAAGTAAAACATTAACCTCAGTAGGTAGGCATTGGTTATCTGTGCTAGGAAGCACAACAATTAGAAGGGCAGAGAGGTGGGAATCAACTGCATTTAAAATAGCAAAGCTGGAATTTTGCAGAGTAAAGAAGAGGTGGCAGGAAATACAGATGTTGAATCAGGAAGACAAATGGATGGGGTTAGCAGTAATGACAGATAGGCCAGGGATAATAGGAAGACTGAGTCAATGAATAACCTGAAACTGGTACAAACTGTGCATGTGTATGTATCATTCATGAAGAGAGTCCAGAACTTTCACCAAATCCTCACAAGGATCAAGACCCAAGTACCAATGCTTTAAGTATTAAGTACTCTAACTTGAACATTTAAGAACAAAATTTGCCACAAATTTCGGTACAAACCAAAACCAAACCAAACCAAACTCACTGCCGTTGAGTCAATCCCAACTCAAAGCGACCCCTCCTTAGGTTTCCCAGGCAGTATCTCTAGGGAAGTAAGTAGCCCAGTCTTCCTTCTGAGAAATGGCTGGTGGGTTTGCACCACCAGCCTTTTGGTCAGCAGTCAAATGCCTTAGGCACTACACCACCACAGGGAACAATTATCATACAATGTGTTGAGTGCTATGAAAAGGTATGTATATTTTAACTATAGGTAACCTAACTCAACCAGGTAGGAGAAGAACCTAATTCAACCTGGGAGTAAGAAAGGGGAATCAGAGAAAGCTTCCCGGAGAAGGTGACACCTGAGCTAAGTAGTATAAGTTTGATGTAAAAAAGGCGAGTAGGAAAAGAAATATAGGCAGTATAAAAGCATCAAAACCAGTGAGAACGTGTTCTATCTGAGACATTATAAGCTCTTTTAAATTAAAATATTGGGTGAAGTGCAAAAATGCCAAGAAATGAATAGAGATCCAAACACTTATAGACAGCTGATCTTCAACAAATCGGCAACGTACATTAAATGGGGAAGAGACAGACAAAAATCAGCTGTTTATTTATAGAAAAATGACAGGACCATACTTCACAACATACATAAAAACTAACTCAAAATGGATCAAAGACCTAAATATAAAACCCAAAACTAGGTTTTCATGGAAGAAAAAATAAGGACAATGCTAGGGGTCCTAAACATAGGAGAAAAAGAATACCAAACATAAGTAAACATGCAGAAAACTAGATAAATGAGACTGCCTAAAATTAAATACTTATGCTCATCAAAAGAGTTCTCCAAAAGAGTAAAAACAGAACCTATAGAGGAGAAGAGGCAATGACAAAGCAGAGTAGCAGCCAGGCATCTAGGTGAGGGGAGGAAGGGACCTAGGCCTCACCTCCACCAGCCAGGAAAGCGGGAGAAAAAGAAGCCAGAGGTGGTAACAGAGCAGAGCAGCAGCCAAGCATCCAGGTAAGGGGAGGAAGGGACCCAGGCCTCACCTC